GTATTTTTCCCACTACACGCAAATATACACTGCTATATGTTTAAACTCTTACTACAATAATCCTTCAATAGATCTTGACTTAATCCCTGACCCATGAAAGCCAGGCAACCTTTCAAGAATGCATAGATCTGTGTTATTTTGTTGTTGTATCAGGGCAGGTTATTGCCTTCCTTTTCCTGGAGCTGTTTCGCTCATCTTGCAACTTTCTTACGAAAACATCTGCATTTCGCTTATTATGAATTCCTGTTCTTCTTTTGTGCCAAGCACAGACAGGGTTCTTACCCAATTCTTACTTTCGGTAAAAAACAACCTCTCTCCTTCCAGAAAAAAGACTTCACTTCCGAAAAAAGGCCACATTTTCCGATGCATATTTATTTCCTATGCATTAACTAAATATTCCTTTAATTTTAGTTTTTTTCAACATTTTATAGTAGAGGTCAACCCGATTAATTGGCACCAATAGGAAATTTTTCAAACTATAGTTATTGGCAGAACTTGGCTCTGATAGTGGCTGACAGCTGTGCAGCCTCCAATGGTCACACTGGGCTGTACATCACTGTTTTGCATGGAGGCTACATACAGGAAGTCACGGTAACGTAAGATAATTTATATTCATGAAAGTTAACTAAATTTTGAGCACGATAAGGCTGTTGATTATAGTATGGCATATATTTTCTCAGTCGCTTTGGTACATTTGCAAAACAGTGCATTTCTTGAAACAGGTATAGAACAAACAGCACAACACAGTGGATTACCTGCAAAAGCCCGTAACTTGCTCAAAATCCTTAGTCTAACTCTCAAAAGTAAACATTTAAGTCAGTGAACATGTCAGTGCCATCAGAATCACAAGTCCTTGTGTCATTGTTTACGAACAAGATAGTCAAAATGTTTAGTCATGTTGAATAACATAACTGTGTGCGCTGTATGTATTTTCTGATGTACACTTTGGCTAAGGTTTTGATGACAATGACAAAAGCCTGCACATTTTCTGTATGACATACCAGTATATCACTTTCACCAGTACAAAGATATACATCGCGAAACATTGGATAGGATTCACAGTTACACTTTTACTGTTTGTTCTGTAATTTGTTGACAGAGCAGTCATTGTGATACAGAAAAGAAAAAGACAAGACTGTTTTACAGTACTGCATAGCACAAATATAAAAATTATGGCACATCTATTGGCGATTTGCATTATTCACTGCTCCCTGTCTATTGTTACTGTTTACAGTGTATGGTATTGTGTGTATCGGGCAAATGGTCTGAGGGCTGTGTTGCGATTTGTTGTTGTCTATTCTTACTTTGTTTAAGGTCTGTACAAAACAACATTTTGTTCAGCTGTATACTTGTATGCAAAGAATGACAGTAAAGTTTGACTTTATTTAACTTTGATTTTTGACAACGTGTTCAACCGTTTTGCATGTAGTGACTTATGCAATAAATACCTTATACCTAGGTAAGACTATTCAACAGAGAACTGGTATAATACATTGTGATCAACATGACATAAGCAAAACTTGTTCAAAATAATGAGAAGTTGCTTTTATGGTGTGCACAAGTGACTGATGATGTGGAGGTAGTAGTTTTGAGAATTACAATTCTGATCTGAAATGAAACTGTAATGCATTAGACCAAAGTTACTGTAACTGCTGGTCGAACGCATGTCGTCTCTGTTTTACAAATGCAAGGCGGTCCTTCTTCTCTGACATCATCACCAAAAACACTAATAATGCACGTGCCCTGTTTGCTGCTGTCGACAGGCTAACCAACCCTCCTGTGTCTGTAGCCTCTGAACTTCTATCCACCAGGGCCTGCAATGAATTTGCTTCCTTCTTCACAGACAAAATTCAAACAATTAGACAAGCAATCAGTGCCTCCATGTCAGTAACAGGATATGTCTTGTCCCTGTGTCCACTTAAAAACAATTTATATAGAATGAGACAATTTGATTCTATTAACAATAAAAACCTGGAGGACATAATACAACATCTGAAATCCTCTTCATGCTGCCTTGATATTCTGCCAACAGGTTTTTTTCAAAAATGTTTCTAAATGCATGGCCTCAGATTTACTACTAATTGTCAACATGTCTCTCCTCTCGGGTTTTTTTCCCACAGGCCCTGAAAACTGCAGTCATTAAGCCACTCTTAAAAAAGAGCAAGCTAGACAGGTCACTAATGAGCAATTATAGGCCCATATCAAATCTCTCATTTTTAAGTAAAATCATTGAAAAGGCTGTTTTTCAACAGCTTAGTGCTTTCTTGGCACTAAATAACAGTTTTGATGTCTTCCTGTCAGGTTTTCGACCACACCACAGCACTGAGACGGCTCTTGTTAAGGTCTTCAATGACATCCATTTAAACACTGACAGTGGCAGAATTTCAGTCTTAGTATTATTGGATCTCAGAGCTGCATTCAACACGGTCGACTACAACATATTACTAGACAGACTTGAAAACTAGGTTGGACTTTCTGGCACAGTACTAAACTGGTTTGAATCCTACTTAAAGGACAGGGACTACTTTGTGTCTATAGGTAATCACACATCTGAGCTGACAAAAATGACATGTGGAGTTCCCCAAGGCTCCATTCTGGGGCCTCTTTTGTTTAACATTTACATGCTTCTACTGGCTCAGATTATGAAAAATATGTTACCATAATTATGCAGATGACACACAGATTTACATAACCATTTCACCAGGGGACTATGATAACATACAAGTGCTGAGTAACTGTATTGAGCAGGTCAATGGCTGGATGTGCCAGAATTTTCTTCAATTGACCAAAGATTAAACAGAAGTTATTGTTTTGAGCCAGGGAGGAACGATTGAAAGTCAGTGCTCAGCTTTAATCTGTAATGTTAAGAACCACAAATCAAGCCAGAAATCTTGGTGTAGTCATGGACTCAGACCTGAATTTAAACAGCCGCATTAAGTAAATTACAAAGTCAGCCTACTATCACCTGAAGAATATATCAAGGATTAAAGGACTTATGTCTCAGCAAGACCTGGCAAAACTTATCCATGCATTTGTCTTCAGTCGACTCGACTACTGTAACAGTGTCCTTACAGGGCTCCCTAAGAAATCCATCAGACAGCTGGTCTTTACATTGGCTTCCTGTATGTCAAAGAATTGATTTCAAAATCCTGCTGTTAGTTTATAAAGCACTAAATGGTTTAGGGCCAAAATACATTTCTGATCTTCTGCTTCGTTACAAACCATCCAGACCTCTCAGGTCGTCTGGGGCAGGTCTGCTTTCTGTCCCCAGAGTCAAAACTAAACAAGGAGAAGCAGCGTTCAGTTATTATGCTCCGTATATCTGGAACAAACTCCCAAATAACTGCAGGTCTGCTGAAACTGTCAGTTCTTTTAAATTAAGACAGAAGACTTTTCTTTTTACCACTGCTTTTAATTAAATATTTAAGAGTTTTGTTTTTATCACTGTCTTTAACTAGTAGATTGATAACTAAAACTGCACTGTAACTTTTACTGTATTGTTTTCTTTTTCTTTGTTTTTAGCTTTTTACCATTGCTTTTAATTAAATTTTTACACAGTGAGAAATGAGTAGGTAATTGAGTGAAAAGATAATGAGAGTGAGATTGAACAGAGTGAAGGAAGTGGTCTTAAATCTCGTGCCTGAGTGATTTGCAGGAACCTCTGTCCACCTGTAAACACGCAGGTGGGTCCAGAGTATAACTGGATCAAAGTGGCCTGCGGACAGACATGTCCTGGTTTCTCTGTAGTGTCCGAGGATTTTTGGAGTTTCAGTGGACCCAAAGATTGCTATGGACCCGAGTACAGACTAGCTAGAGAGAGTAGATTAAGTGTAATTCTCTGTTTATTCTCTTTTCATAATAATTGTAACTCAATTATTTGCTCAACCCCATAGCCTGTTTTTGTTTTCCATTTAACTCTTTTAACCATGATTGTACACTGCACTGTAACTTTTATTATTTTTTAATGTGTATTTTTTCAATTTCCCGATGTTGCTTTTAAACTTTTTTATATTTCCCTGTTGCTTATATGTTTTATGTAAAGCACTTCGAATTACCTTGTTGTTGAAATGTGCTATACAAATAAACTTGCCTTGCTCGCAAGCTAAGCACAAGCCTAGGACATCTATGGGCCATGGCATATCTGATAATTTCAGGTGCACTTTTGCTTAACATATTGTGTTATTAAATCCTGATAACAACCTAAACAACCGTTAACCTCATTTCATGTGCCCTCTGGAGCAGAGCCCTAATGTTCCCCTCGAACACATGGTCTTTGTCGCCATCTTGTGGCTGACTTGTGGTAACTACCTTTGAAAACAACTGCATTATGTTCCTCTCTCACTGAGATGAGAATTTTGATACCCTACACATTTGTTTTTTTACAGATATGAGAGCCATTTGGTTAAATGTTTATCATTTGTTGTTGCTGAACCGCCGCCACCAAGGGTAGCCATGGCGCTGTCAATTTGGCTGGTCCAAGGTCCAACAGGGCACAGGTGTTGTTGACCCAAGAGATGGGAGCAAACAGTTTTTTGAGCGTGAAACGTGCAATGTGGTATGAGGAATGAAAGTGGAGTTTATTATATTTCCTTTGATATTTATACCTACGAATGTACTTCTGTTTGATAGCAAACACGGTTTCTATTTGTTCTCTTTGTTTTGAAGATTGAAAACAACATGGGTGGGTTTAGTTTCCCTTTTCTCCACATCACCAGAACCAGACTGAATCACACTTTCTGGACTTTGGACCGAAGTCCACAAATAAGCGTAAATGATTTACACACAAACATGTCATTGTTTGTGTTATTGAGTAACAAATTAATCTCAGCACTGTTTTCCTGCTTGTTGTGTTGTGTGTGGCAACGAGCATCATGCTGAAAACTGAAATGAGTTATTTGGCCTGGCAAACAGTACAGCTGAGTAGCCTGCTGTTATCCTTTGCTGACAATTTTTATTTGACTTTTATTAAGTCAGGTGGAGCAATCATATTCACACAGTTACTTGTTATAACATATTTTCTTTATTTGATTGTGCGAGAAAAATGTGCAGTGAATAATGCAGATCATACATATTGTACAGAGTATATTTTAGATATGACAGTGATTGCAACTCAAGAATTAAAACAATCTTTTATTTTCCAGTTACATTTATTATCAGTTAGTGTTTATTACTAAGTGACACCTATAATACATTATGTTTCAATACAAGCTGAACAAAAGGTTCATACATCCAATGAAGGAAAAAGAAACATTCTGCCCAAAGAATATGTAAAAACAGTCAAATTGCTTTATGTCACAGGAATTACAGTTAATTAATTCCTCAGAGATCAATGTTAATTTTGTTTAATGCTTTACTGTGAGCTGTAATATTAGTTGAATTTTTACATGATTTGATCACATTAAATGGATCTCCTCTATAAACACACCAACAGAGCTGGGGAAAAGGCAGAAATCTGATCTCTGTAATCTCTGTTCATTGAGCACTACTGTATTACACAAGACTGTCTTTCTTTCAGTTTTTCAGCCACCTCATCAAATTCCATTTTTGTTTCACTCAGTTTCTTCATCTCCATCTCCGAAGAAAATGGCGTCTCCAGGACAGCTTGTTTTTTCTCTGATGTCAGCAGACCTTTGCACAGGGAGTCGTGGATCTTCTGCCACGAGTCCATCTCTGAGCTCCAAAGTGTAGCTCTGGCTCTGATGAACTGTGAGACTTCAGTCTCGCTGCCTTTGGCCAGACCAATGCTGTCTTTACAGATGAAGAAGATATCCAGGCCAAGGAAAAGAGCATTGGCTGCAATGAGACCGACCCTGGCTGACTTGGAGAGGGCAAGAGGCCCTTTGACTGCTACCTGACCGATATCTGGGACTTCTGAGGCCACCCTGGGCACGTTACGAAATGCTTTACCTTCCTGGGCCACCACCTTGCCAGCACTTACAATCAGCTCTTCACTTCTCAACATCTTAGCAGCAGAGGCAGCATCAACAAGCGCATCAATTCCATTTCCGATAACAACAGCTTTACAAAGCACCTTTCCTACTCCTACAGACACATCTATCTTATCTGTTTCTCTTTTGATCACATCGTCCAGACAATCCTGGAGAATCTGCACGTCCTTCATGAAGCTCTGGAAGACTTCACTGGCTTTCTTTTGATGTTTACGGTTTACTCCGATCTCTGTGGCTGTGGTGACAGCGCTGTTGACCCCACTGGTAATTCCCATCCCTACCCCTGTCATTGTCAGAGCTAGAGACACTCCAGCTGTTACAGGAATTAATGCCAAACCAATGATAGAAAGCACACCTCCAACTGCCCCCACTGAGCTGCCTGCAACACTGGAGATCTTTGCCCCCTTATTCATCCTGTCTAGCTGAACAGCATTCTCCTCCAGCTCATTGAGAAACTGCAGCATCCCGGGCTGTCGTTTGCTGAACTCACTGATGAAGGCAAAACCTGAGTCCTCCTGAAACAAGAACACCATCCGGAAGTCCTGGTTCATCCTAAAAAGTAAAAGAAATCTTAGAGTTTATCATCTTATTTTAAAATTCTGTTTGGGCCTGGGATCTACTTCATTTTATTTCATGAGATACATTTAAAACAAGGAACTCCTGCTGGACCAGAGAAAGGCCAACTCCAATTTACTTTAGTTGCAATAAATTATATTTAAACAAGACAGAGAGTCCGCAGCCATGCTAGCAGCTCTGTGAGATTACAGTGGTGGTTGAGCTACACACTAACGTCAGCATACCAACATTCTCACAATAACAATGCTAACATACTGATGTTTAGCTGCTCATGCCCTTAGCTTAGCGTGTTAGCATGCTAACATTTGCTAATCAGCACAGTGTACATCCGAGGCTGATGGGAATGTTTTCCAGGTGTAAAATTTTGACTTGATGATGGCGCTATACGAAACCAAATCATTAGGATTTATTCTCCAAGATCTATGAATGCCTTTTTTTGCAGTGTGTATCAAATAGTCTTTTGAAGATCAATCATGCTGATTACACTTACATTTCTATAACTAATAGGCAAACACCTTGCACAAATGTGTGGACATGATATTTGGTGAAAAAACACACATAATGCTTACCTGATTTCATCAAGCTGAGTAATGTGACAAAGCATCCTCTGTACGTCATCTTCAGACAAATTCACATCGAGGTCTACCAGAGTTTCAGCAGTCATCTTCAGGCTAAACTCACTGAAGGAGCTGTGAAAGAAAGTTAAATCATTTTCTATTATAGATGTTGTTTATTTTGCAAAATTTGCAGGTTACAATGAAGAAATGTCAGTTTACCTTTTCTCTAACTTGTCACAGATTTTCTGGGTGGTCCGAATGTATTTGTCCAGCTGATAGGACAGCACGTCCACGTTCTGAAGTTTGGGAAGGAAGAAGACACTTGCATCTCTTTTAAACTCGAGGAGTTGTGGGCAGATTTGCCGTGCAGAAGAGATGACAATCTGAACCTGTTCACAGCTGATCCCTTGGGGCAGGTGTAACACCTGGTTCTCCTCCTTGAACACATGAAGTGAGGTGACCGCCAGTTTTTCCACTGCATCCAGGAAGTAGTCCAGCTTCTCCAGGCCTCCCAGAGTGTCCTTCACCACAGCAGCCAGCTCTTTCTCCAGCTCTGCACGCCTGCTGTCTGCAGTCACTTGGGTCACCTTGCTCTTCATATATTCCAGAAAGGCCTCTCCTCTGTTCTTTGACTGGGTAACATGGCTGATGTTCAGGTCAATTTTTCCAGCCCTGTCTTTGATGTCCATCATCATTTCCAACTCTGACTCCCTCCCAAGCATCCATTTAGAGATCCTCTTGCAGAATTCTCTTACTGTGTCAATGTAGCTGAGGGTGTCTGCAGTGTAGCAGCACAAGGCCTCCTGTAGTTCCTTTCTGTAAGACAAAACATTATTCAGTTTGTGAGATTGTAGTAAAACTATTCACTGACTCCTTGTGGAGTTTGCTTGCTGTGCGACAGTGCAGGAGAAAGATTTGGCAGCAGCTACAGGCACTCCATCACTGCTGATAAATAAATCAAATCAGTTTCTTGGCCTTTAAGTGCTTGGACCAGGGGCCAGAGCCTCGGTGTTAACATTTGTTGGTGGAAAGTCACAGATCTCACTTAATATCCTCATTACAATGTCAGTGAAACGATTCTGATCTTATCTAATCTAATAAACCTCCACTTAACAAGCAGATTTAGCTGAGTTTTGAGATCTTGTGACCTCCAAATCACCAAATGAATATTTACTGGCATCGATTCTACATGATTATGTTGTACCATTGTTGGGGATTCCTTTTCTGTTTGTACAGTTAATTTCTAAACTACACTAAATGTTCTTAATAACCAAGTTAAATCCAACAACACTCAACAGTACCAGAGGCATAGCACAACTACTGCTACAGAATAACTAAATAAGTGAGTGAGTGAATAAATAAATAAATGGAAAAGACGATATATTGGTTTTTGACAATGTGGTTATTTCAGAAAACAACAGTCAGTTTGGTTAGCATTATATATTAGTGCAATTACATGTTAAAGATGTAAAATGTAGCTGAACGAGTCCAGCTTTCCCAGGATGTCTAAACGTCTAAAGCTAGGCAATACAACCTCACATAATACAACCAAATCTAATCCAATACTTTGATCATTTTTCCTTCAGCTGCACAGCATACTGAAGCTACAGTAACATTTTACTAAAATACAGTAACATTAGTAAATCAACTGTTTTAAGAAAATCTAAATGGCATCAGTGTTTTTTTCAAAGTATTACAATAGTACAATATCTGTGCAGAGTGTCACAGAGTCACAAAACGACTACAAAGAGATGCTCAAACACACAAAACAACTGCAAAGAGACAGCTTCTCTCTGGTTTTCTTAGAGAAACAGAGCTGCCTTCCTTAAGGGTCAGTAAATGTTCAGGTAAGTTATTTAATAGGATACATTGATATTAGAAATCAAAAAGAAACGTCAATTAATTGTTTCAGACTGCTACAGTTTCCTGCTGATAACATTATGTTCAGAGTCCACAGTTGATGAACTTTGGATGTTTGAAATAAATAGTCAACTGTTTTCATAGGAATCGAATCCTTTAATCGAAGGACGGTAACATTCAAGGTGAATACTGTAAATACTTAATTGTAGACATTTTCAGACACATTTTATTTCAGTGCTTTAAGTCACATAGCTTCGGCAGACACTAGTAACTGTCATAATTCCCCTCGGGGATCGAAAAAGCATCAATCTATCTATAGTTGTTTCTGATTCCGGACTCAAGAATAGTCAGTAGTTCCCAACCTGGGGGTAAATTCAGATAGTAAACAACAGGATAGGAGATCGGTAAAAATAATTACATTTATTTCTTCAGATATTCTTCTTAATCTTTGCTTTTTTACTTGTAAAATAATGGCTATACAGGCTGTGAAATATGACAACATGCACAACTCATAATTCATAGAGGTATTCAACCAGTTTTATCGTTACAGGACAAACAGGTTTGGAGCAACTGCCGTTTATTACTCAATCTTTTTCTTTTTCTTTGCATTTAAACAATTGGACCTGCAGACGTCACCAAAGCACACACAGTGTTTTAATTTTCAGGGACAATGCACATTGAGCAACGTCACTGTAAATCTTTCAGTGTCAGCCAAATGACTAATTATCCTCTGTTGTCCCTTCGCTTGATGTTAAATTAGCCATTAAAAACAGCAACAGAACACACAACATTTAAATTACAACAAGATAAAGCAAAACATGAAGCGGTTAAACCGGAGTATTGCAGCATCATGTAAAGAAGAATATATGAAAAGCAGACAATTTTGACAATTGTGCACTAATGGTTTGAAACAGACTTCCTTTACGAATAAGATAAACTCTAACTCTATAGATAGTTTTAAGAAGCATCTCAAGACCTACTGTTATGCTTTTTCTTTTAACTGATTAAACGCAATTATTTATGTATTTATTTGATTTTATAGCCCTGTCTGCTACCTTTATCCAGTTTTAATACCTGTGTTTTGTGCTTGTTTGCTTGCTGCTGTATTGTATCCTTTATTTATCTGTAACTTGTTTAAGTGCTGGTAATGTATAGCACTTTGAGCTGCATTTTATTTTATGAAATGTGCTATACAAATAAAGATTATCATTATTCTTTATTATATTTGGTGCCTTTGTTTTTACAAACAACAACATTAATCTCTACATTTATTTAATAGGCTACTAAAATCTCACGCACTGAACCGTCAGACTGATTCAGAGATCCCTCTGTATTTTTCCTTATTTAACATTTTGCTCTTACTACAGGCTTTTCTCTCATCTTCTGTAGCTCAAAGTAACAAACTCTTTTACCTTGACACAGGCATGTTTCTCCTCTCGACTGTTGTCTTCAGTTCCTCATTGGAGCCTCATCGTATTAGCTGCGTGGTTAAAATAAAAATGGAAATCTTATTGTTTACTGTGCGGGAGATCCGAAACTCATGTGCTGACTGAATCTACTGAAACGTCGAAACCACCACTTGATGATCAACTTTCCAGACTAAACTTCTCGGGTTTCTTTGGTTTCGTTTTCATTTCTCCACATCACCAGCCTGAATCACACCTATTTCCGTAGCCTAACCTTAACTCATTCAGGGCACCGGTAGTCAGCTGGGTTTTGTTTGTTTAGGAGTCAGAAACTATGTGGTAGCGATAATAAAGCGTTTAAAGTTCAGGCAGCAGCAGCTTGTTCGGCCCGAGAACACGCAAAAGATGATATCGTTTATTTATACTGTGGTGCCTTCAGCTACTTCACGCTACTGATTATTGTCGAGGAAACACGTCCTTCAACCCGGAAACCGTAGCAAAACACAAAATAATCAGGGGCAGCTGTATAAGAAAATACATAAATAATAACAAAGCTAGAACGTGGCGTAATAATAATAAAAAAAAGGGTAATGTGCATTCAAAATATATCAGATCTGTCCAAAAGAAAGTCTTCATTGCCTTCTTGTAATTAATGTTTTTAATTGTGGTGCTATATTGATGCAGTTCTTGGAGAAAATGTCCAAAGTGTGGTAAAAAAAAAAAAAACGTCTTCAAGTTTAACCAAAGGGGGTAATGGTGTTTGTGCTGTTGCTCTACGTCATTAAGCCACGGTTATTCTGTGCGATCATGCGCAGTAGACGGCTGTGCCAACAGGAAGTAGCGCTGTACTAGTATTCTATTGGTCCGAGACTGATGGCTTCACTGCTCTCCATTCAAACCAGCTGGGTGGCTTCATCCAGTAACATACTGTCTATGGTTATATTAGGCAGCACGTGAACATTTTGAGCTCAAAGTGAATGTGTTAGAAGCAGGAAAAACGGGCAACTGTAAGGATTTGAGCAACTTTGGGCTAAATTGTGATGGTTAGAAAACAAGGTCAGAGCATCTTAAAAACGGTCTGCAGTGGTCAGTATCTATCAGAAGTGGTCCGAGGAAGGAAAAGCGGTGATCCGGTGAAATATAATGATACCCAAATGTATGTAGACCCAAAGCAAAGTAAATTTGCGTTTTCGCTTTCTTGTAGGGAGTTAAGGCGGGGACACAACTTTTATAACTCACTTCGGTGTGTTCAAGAACTTTAAGTCATAATGTGGAAACATTTTTGTATACTAGTCTCTGGGTGATAGGTTGTTATGTACAGTAGCCTCTGCGATGTTCCTATACAAGTAAGCTTAAACAGTTTGATACGTAATGATTTTGTCCCAGATTTGTTGTTGCACCAGTAGGCTACATTCCCTAAAACCACTAAAATATTGCTTTACCTGACTTGTTACCAAGGTTAATACTAATAAATAAGTAGCCTAATCTTGGGCAATCTACATCGTCAGCAACTGACAGTTACAACCGAATAGCCTACCATATTACAACAAGGCATGTGAGCAAAAACTTGAAATGCAATACATGAATTAATAAAAAGCATTTACATTTGCCCCCCATGTTTCTGCGTAATATGACATCAACTCTGCAAGTTGTGCAGACTTTCTGAGTTGTTGGTCCCACTTGAGGTGGCATTCAAGTGAATTTTCCCAGTCAAGAACTATTTTTTCTGACTATTCCAACACCACATGAATGCAGAACGTGTGTGTTTCATGTGCTTATATCCCTCTGGGGACTTCAACCTGACTTTAACCTGAATGCACACCTATAGAACCCATAGGGTCTTGTGTCAACGTGGGGACAAACATTTAGGTTCCCAGAGGTAGAGACTGCTTTTTGAGGGTTACAAGTAGGTCAGGGGTAGGGTTAGACATGTGGTTGTGAAGGTGAAGGTTAGGGTAAGGGGCTAGGGAATGCATTATGTCAATGAGATGTCCCCACAGGTATAGTGGAACAAACGTGTGAGAGGGGCCGTGTCAAAATGCTCACTCAGCTGCACTCAGCTCAGTGTCGACACTCAGGGATCAGGGAAACGCTGCTGACATGGCAGTGTCCTCACACACGCAAGGCAGCATCAAAACATACAGCAGAGCACACAGTTACACGGCAGAACACAGAGCTGGAACAGGACGGAGACCAGTAAATGTGTATAAGGAATTCAGGAATCTCACTCATTTATTTATTTAGATTGTTTGCAATGAAAACATGGTAATAGATTATACCTTTATTAAAGAAAGAGAAGGGATGATTATAGCAGCTAATAACTCTTTCAGTTTAGCGTGGGCATATGTGTAATGTTTCGGGAAAATAATTTGAACCTTCTCTTTAAACTCCAGATCAGCCAGACATGTAATCCACTGAGACTGAATCCCCCAAATACCACTGTATAGGTTGTTTGCACAAGCAGCTTATTATGACCTATATTTACACTACCGGTCTGGTAGGCCTTTCGCTGGTACTCTCTACCAGACATCTATGTAGTTTTGAAGTACGGACATACACAGTAGGTAATTTTGGGAGTCAGTGCCTTAAACCTGCATTCTTTCTAACCGCCAGCAGGGGGCGACTCCACTGGTTGCAAATTCCCTATTGCATTGGAGTCTATGAGAAAATGACTCTACTTCTCACTTGATTACCTCAGTTAATACTTTCCTAATTAGTGTATAATCTCAACCTTTAGTTTCGTGTCTTTAGCTTGTCGTATTACCTGTGCGGTTAAATTTAAAATAATAACACTGGAAAAATTGATCGTTTATTGTGCTGGAGATTCACAACTTTCTTGACAGAACTTCTTGGGTGTGTTTGGTTTCGTTTTTCTTTCTCCACATCACGAGACTGAATCACCCATTTCTGTAGGCTACTTAACTCCTTCAAAGCACCGGCAGTCAGCTGGGTTTTAAATTTAGGGAGGTTGAAACTATGGGGTAGCGATAATAAAGCGTTTAAAGTTCAGGCAGCAGCCACACCCCAAGAACATGTAGTAAAAGGTTTATTGAAAGGGTGGTGCCTTCAGGTGATCTACACCTTGCTGACAATTAACGGGTAACAAAAAACAAACCTCAAAGCCCGTTGCACACCAGTGCAAACTGTTATCAGACTGAAGGAACTCCAGAACAGTGTACATTTAGTAAATTTTGGTCCCATTTAGAGTTAGACTAAGTATGATGGTTGAAATGTAGATTCACCGGCGAACTGAGTTTAGAGGGAATCAAATTCACGACTATGGCACGCCCTCACTCTTCCCATCTTCCCATTGCCAAATTGATGATAATTACAAGCTTTGTCGAACTACTAAAGTGGAAGTTGTGCAAGAGTTTTATGTTCTTCTTTGATCTTATAAGCATCTTCCACCCTTTGCGCTCCTTAGGCTGGGAATTCTCATCAATAATGTTCTCATCTGTGTTGAACCTGACAGGGAGATTTGGGCGAGCCTCTTTCTCATAGCATGACATCATTTCCTCCAGCTTCAGTGAAAGGATGTTGTAAATACTGTTTCTGTCTCACCTTAATGTTGAGGGCCTGCTTTTTTATTCTTTCTCAAGGGCCTCCTTATGAGCATTTTCTGCCTTTTAACTTCTGAAACATTAATTGAATCACAAGGTCTTTCCTTCAAAGCACAGTTTCATGTCTTCTGTCTCTTTAGTATCCTCATCATGCTCTTTTTGGAGTTTCTCGAAGGTCATCCACTTCTCGGCGGAGGACCTTCTCCCTCTCAGAGGCATTCAGCTGCTGCTGTATACACAAATCCATTTTGTTTTGGAGCTTCAGGTTGAATTATATTTTTGCAGGGCCTCTTTTTCTTTCTTCTTTGCCATGTACTGTACATTTCAGCTCTACGCTCAAAGCTAATTTTAAGCTGACCCACCTCATTGCTCAAGACCTTGTTCTTGCTCTCCAAGTTAGGCTACATGCTTCTTGCTGGAAGATGTCCCCCTCAGAGGTCTTTAGCTCCTCCTGGGCACAGACATCATCTTCTTTTTGTATCACAGTGACTTTCTCTGCGCTCTCAGCCTTGCCCTTTTTTGGACAAATCGTTGGAGGTCAAGTAATTCTCTTTGCAGTTCATTTGAAGTTGTTCTTGCTGACTAATCAAGTTCCAGTTCTCCCTCTCCACAGCTTTGAGTACAGCTCCAAGCGTATCCAGACAGTCTGAATCCTCTTCCAAGTCACATGTTCTTGTTGGAAGACTTGTTCTTTTCAGACACATCTTTGAACGTCAGTTTTTTGCAGCTGATTTCAACTTAGTATTTATCACTTTTAAATGCCCCATTCTGTCCCTCAAAGGCTTTGAGTTCAGGCACAATTTTAATCTGTACACTTGTTGAGGCCCCTCTGGAGCTCGTCTTTGAAGTTGCACATTTCTTGGCAGTGGACCTTTTCCCGATCAGCGACCTTCAGTTGCTCTGTAGCTCGTAAGTCTTTTTCGTACTTTCCTGACTTACCTTTCCTGTCTTATATAAGCTTGAGTTCGCCTTCATAGCCAGTTGAGATATTTAACAGCAGGATGAGAGGCTAGTGCACCACTGCCCCCTCTCAAAAGTTATTCACCACTGTTTTTCATCATGCCTCTGTGTCACTTGTCGATACGAGCACCATGGCATTGAACATAATGAGCCCAAAGCTCTGTGTGGAGCTGGGACTATACGCTCTCATTGGCAAAGGAGGGATGGGCAGTTCTTTCATTGCTGGTCGTTGTTTCTCAGCCGTTTTGTTTGCAAAACTTCTAAAGGCACGGTGAAGATATTGAGGAGGGGAGCTGCACATGTGCATGAGCAGTGATTGACACTGCATTAGAAACCCTTGCACTGTAAATTGCATGTCCTGTGTTCTCATTTGAGTAAAAACAATTACCAGCTACAACACAGTCAGTTCCCTGTTTTAGTAGATGGGGAATGTATTTTCATTGAGAAAATAACATTGTTTTAAACTGGTAATTTCACCATTCTGTCATAGTCATGAAGTCAAAAAACAGCTGCCAACAGCTACGCAACAAGAGACACACATTTTATACCATTAGCTTTCCTGCTAAACTCTCCTCTTCAAACAAGGACACATGTCTTTTCCTGCACCTTGACTTGCTGAATGAACTACCAAACAAACATCCACCAGGGAAAACACTGCTGACATCAAATAGACTAGACAGCGAAATAACTGGCTGCATCACATTAAAAACTTACTCTGTTTAAATGCTGGTGGTGGTCTTTACTTTTCAACACCACTGCTAACAAAACATGCTTCCATGGCTTGTAAGCTATAGTGTTTTACTTACTTGTCCCACCTTAGCTAGTTCAAAAAACAGGAAAGTGAGGGATAATCAAACAAAGTCTGTGGGCTTTAAGTAAATAACTTGAGTTGTGCTACCACAAACAATCTCAATTTACCTCTGTTTTGTTTTACCCTG